ATGGCAGGAAGTTTGGGTTTTTTGAACTTGGTCTACCTCTGACTTACCCTGTAAGTCGACACTGCTCTGGAGAAGAAGTCTTATTAATACAATAGCCCTCTAACTACCTGAAGAAAGCTACCATAACCTCCCTAAATGTTTCTAGATCTTTCCACTCTGACTCCTGGGCATCTAAACACTGAATGGTTTGCCCATGTCCTTGAAAAAAATAGGCATCTCTTCACCCCAAAACTGAGAGCAGCATAGGACAGATCATGGGCAGTGTGGACAGCTCTGGAGACCTGAGCTGGCCGACCTCAGAGAGCACAGAGAGATGGTGGCTGCTTCAAGGACTGACTGTCCAGTTCAATGCAGCCCAGGGAGACCCCTTCTAGAGGGACCACGCAGGCGTGACCAGGCTTGAAGTTGAGCACTTGCTAAGCGTGGTGTGGTCTGTACCCTCTTATTATTTGGGGTAAAAACAAGCCCTGAGCCAAAGCCTGTGGACACTAGATTTCATGGACACATTGGGGGGTGGGGGGGGCCTGCTGGGCCCTGCGTTAGGCATAGAAGGGAGAAGCCCGCCCCCTTGTGGACCTCTGGAGAGTGATTAGGTGCAAAAAGCACATGGGAGGCAGATCCAGGAGAGCAGCCACTTTGTCTCACCGCTCCCATTTCTCCATATGCGTCTGGTGTCCTGAAGTGAATGATTCTGTGCTGGTGGGTCACAGGAAAATGATAACAGGGGCACAGAAGAAAGTCAAGAGGTGGACATCGCAGGGTTCAGGAATCTTCCAGGAGAACATTGAAGAGAAATTGTTGTTAGGTGCCCTTAAGCCGGTTCTGACTCATAGCGACCCTGCAGTCAGCGGAATGATTGGTACTGCCCAGTCCTGCGACATCCTCACAACCGTTGGTGTGTTTGGCCCATCGTTGCCATCAATGTATTCATCTACCTAGGTGAGAGTCTTCCTCTTTTTCATTGACCCTCTAGCAAACATGATGCCCTTCTTTAGGGGCAAGCCTTCTCCAAGAACATGCCCCCAAATATATGAGACGGAGTCTAACCATCCTCCCTTGTAAGATGCGCTTGGCTGTACTTCTTCCAAGACTTTCCGGTTTATCCTTCTGGCAATCTGTGGGATCCGCAAGATCCTTCTCCAACACCACAATTCAAAGGCGTCAATTCTTCTCTGGTCTTCGTTATTCATTGCTCAATTTTCACTTGCACGAGGCCATGGGAAATACCCTGGCTTGGTCAGGTGAATACATTTGTCCTCAGTGTAATAGCGTCTGATTTTTAAAAGGTGCTTTGCAGGTGCAATTAGCTATTTGGCACTCAACTGACTGGTGTCATAGCTATCTAGTGCTGCTATACCAGAAATACCCCAGTGGTTGACTTTAGCAAACAGACATCTCTTCTGTCACAGTTTGGAGGCTGAGGTCCAACCGGGGGAGGCGTTCTCTGTGTCAGCTCTGGGGAAGTCCCTGTTCTCCTTTCAATGTCTGTGGGTTCAGCATCCCTTGGAGATCTCTGTGTGTCCTGGTGTGGCTCTTCCCCTGGGTCTGGGAGGAGCCCCAGGTTCAAAGGTCTAGTTTCAATCCCTTCTCCTCTGTCTTGGTGGTTCTGAGGATCCTCCTCCCTGATTACTTCTCTCTCATTTTATCTTTGATGAGATAAAAGTTGATCAGGCCACTCCGCAGGGAAACTCCCATTCCCTCATTGTTATATTGGAGAAGGGCTGTGACCTTTAGAAAGAGTGTTACATTCCAACTTGTTGTCAGGGGCCGGCAAGTCGATTCTGACTCATAGCCAACCTGTGTACAACAGAACAAAGCACCGCCAAGCCCTGCGCCATCCACATCATTGTTGTGTTCGGCTGGAGCCCACGGCTGCAGCCCCCATGTCCATCCATCTCCTCAAGAGTCTTCCTCTTCTGTCCTTCCACTTTATTAGCATGATGTCCTTTTCCAGGGACTGATCGCTCCTGACATGTCCTAGTATGAGAGACAGCGTCTTGCCATCCTTGCTTCCAAGAGCGGTGCAGCCGAGCTCCTTCCGAGGCAGCTGTGTGTTCTCGCAGCAGTCCGTGGTACTTTCAGGCTTCTTCACCAACACTGTAGTTCAAATGCATCAATTCTTCGTGGGTCTTCTTTATTCCATAGCCAACGTTCATGTGCATATATTGAGCATACCACGGCGCTTCAACACTTTCAAGAGATCGTGTGCAGCTTCCTACCTTAATCTCCCTACAATTGATCAGTTGATCACATCAGATCACCTCATAGGGGATCATTACATCAGTATGGAACTGCCAAACCAGAGAATCATGACCCAGACAAGTTGCCGCATATTTGGGGGTTAGAGGCCATAAAGACTGGCAGTCTGAACTCACCCACAGGTCACTCAAAAGAAGGGTCTGATTACCTACTTCTAAAAGACCAAAGCCATGAAAACCCCATGGAGCGTGCACAGGGCCTTCATGAGTCGAAATCCACCCCACAGTAGCTAGTACTGCTCCTAGCTATTTAAGAAAGGGAAAAGAGGAGCAAGGGGCTACCCTGGTTCGCCCACCGGCTATGTAACTTCAGACAAGTCATTGTCCCTCCCTGAGCCCCCACGGACAGATAACTGAGGGTTACAATCCCTGTGATTAGAAACCTCCAAGCACCCGCATTCTTAGACCCTGGCCTTTTGGTGGCCTGTCTGTCGTGGGCCCATACTTCTGGTGGGAGAGGGAAGTAAGAGGTGCCTGAAAGGGAAGGCCAAGGGCATCAACTTGACCAGGTTGGCAGGCCCACCTCTCTTTCACCATACCTTGCCCTGGAAGACCTGAAAGGTTACCCCCACCAGGCATTGCCCTTCCTTCCCCAATTTGGTCGAGTTTCCATCTAGCACAGTGACTTCATCCAGAAGCATTTCTCTCTTGGGTGCCGGGTGGACACTGGCCCCGAGGTGCCTGCACCATAAACTAGGTGTGACCCAGCCCCACTTTGGTCCCAACATCACAGCTGAATTCAGCCTTGCGACCACCTACTTGTCATCTGTCTTTATCCAGCACTAAGCACATTATCGAAGGTTATGTTTTTAGTGTATTTTTTGGGTGGATTCTGTACTCTTCTATAATTCATCAATTATAATTGGGGTTTACTATATATAACCTGGGGAAATACAAGCCAGAGTACTTTCTCCAAAGTTCTTCAGATAAACAATAAAGGTGTGTTTTAAAATTAAATTATGTGTTAAAATGGCTTACATTTTCTTTAACCACACTAAGCTCACCTATGGCCAGAGTGTCACCAAAGAGGTTCTTTGTTGCAGATGCTCCGCTCCCACCCACCCACCCAAATACATCTTGTAAATCTTAACCCCTATGCCTCTGGTTACCCATTGAAAAATAAGTTGTTCTTGTTATGTTACGGAAGCAGGACTGGTGTAGGGTGCCCTTTGAGGTAGAAAAGAGGGGAGACCATCCAGCAGCGCCCTGGTGGGGTAAGGCAGAGCCTACATAAGACACATAGAGACCTTCATGGGAGAAGGACACAGAGCCTGAAGAAATGAGGACCTTCCTCCAGAGCCACCACAGAGAGCAAGCCTGTCTTGGAGTCCTCTCCTTGAATTCGGACTTCTCGCCTCCTGAACGATGAGACGGGAAAAGACGAGGCTGTCTGCTCCCCTACAGACAGAGCTACAGTCTCAGAAACCCACAGGGCCCATTCTACCCTGTCCCACTCAGTCTGTGAGTCAGCATGGGCTGCCTGGCAGTCAGTTGAGCTGGAACTGTGAGCAAATATATTTCCGTTTGTTAAAGTCGTTCACTGTGGTCTTTCTATTTTAACAGCACTAGATAACTGAGATCTTCTTCTTAAAAGCCTAATTGTCTGTAAGCCAGATAAAAAGTATTGAATCCATTTTTTAAAAAAATTTAAGGCCTCTATAAATTCTGTGAAGCAATGGCCAAGGCCACCGTCCTTCAAGTTGAAGTGACCCCCAGCGTGTTATATGGGCAGCGGCTGGGAGTTTACATACTATAGTGCCCTCAAGCTTTGAGTGGAATAAAATAAGCCTCTTTAGAAATCTCACTTTCAAAACAAAGACATATTGTAAGGCATGATCAGTTATTATGTAAATACCCCTTCAAAAAGCCGAGGAGCCCAACAATAAGTATAACAGGCAGAGAGAACCCTTTTTAAACTACCTTGGTGGACCACCCGGCTTCTGCAGCCCTGCCAGATTCTCAATTGTCATGGGAAACGAAAAGTCCAAACCCTGCACGGCCTCAAAGACGTTTTCAGCAAGCAGATCGGAACATTTCAGAAGGGAAAATGTGCTGGCATCAGCAAGCCACAGGGACTACTAACCTTTCTGGATTGAGTCTGGCCTTTGGTTCAGAACGTGGCTATAGCAGGGCCAGAATTGTGACAAAACTGCGCTTTCAGGAAGGTTAGCCAAGGTTCACAGGGTCATGACTGGGCCATTTTATCAGTCACGTCAGGCTCACACCCTATTGCCAGGGACTGATAAATACTTATCTATCAGTTTACTAAATCTGCTCTTCTTGTCTTATTTTGAATAAAGAAAACCTGGACTGGCTTATCTAAAGCACAGCAGTGTCTTTCCCAATCCTGTCTTCATCTGCAACTTCTGAGTCAATGTGGAGCCCTGGTGATTCCCCCCACCCCACCCCTTTTGGCCTTATTTTCGTCAAAGGAAAAATCACTTGGGCACGCTCCAACAACTTGGGTTTATTGATGAGAGGAGATAGAAGTGTTATATTTGATCATTCTCAGAGTGGTAACTTGTTGGTACCTTGTGGATTCATCCTTCTTTACAGTAAAGCAAACAAAAACTAAACTCAGATAGAATGAACTTTTTGATAGCTTTTCTGAATCGGGATTCTAAAGGACCAGAAAAACTTAGAAAGGTACCTTTGAAACCAGATGGGCACTGAGGACAAGTAACCCACCCTGACATTTGGCAACCTGATTAAATCCCAGATGGACAAATATTCCCTGAGAGGTGTCTTAAAGGCACAAGAAGTGCCTTAGCAATGTACTTTATTTGGAAATTATACAAATCCATTCTTTTAATATTTGAAGATGGTAGAACTAGAGACATAAATATTATAATATACATTTCAGAATTAAATACAATACAACCAGTTGAGGACACTATATAAAAAAACTCCTATGTATACTTCCAGTAAATCTGAGGTTTGGGCATTGACACTGATCAGATTTCACCCTGGAAACGGGTGAATCTTGCAGGGAGATTGTCCACAGGGTACACGGTGGGACTGGTTTTCATGGTAGGAGGTCCATTTAGAAGCCGCCAGTCACAATGCCTGGCCAGCTCCACTGTAAATATTTTAAGAAGAATTTTTGCAAACTCTTTGCCTACACAGCTTCTAAGGCCTCCTCCAAATGGAATGAAGCTGAACCGGGCTGCATCTTCGGGGTGAGGCACCATGAATCGGTCGGGATTGAATTCCTCCTTGTTGGTGAATATGTCTGCCACATCATGAGTGTCGCAAATGCTATAGATGACATTCCAGCCCTTGGGAATCTGGTATCCCTGCAAAAGATGATGGCGTCCCAAGAGCTAGGGATTTCACTTTCAGCAAGAAAAAAATCCACCCCTGTTGTCCTTTAGGGGACGATGAGCTCACAACAAGAGACACAGTGTGATCTTTTGGTGGCCAAAATAAGTGTCCAGGTGGGGAAAAGCAGTGTTATCGAAAGAGGAAGGGATTTAAGCCTCTGCCCAGAGAAGCCAGGTGGGGGGTGGGGGGTGGAGTCTGCAGCCATAACAAAAAGGGTTGGAGGGGCGGGAGGAGGGAGGGGAGAGAAACTTTTAACTTACATTCAATTCAAAAGTCTTCAGAGCTACCCGAAAGCCTCCTGGAACTGGGGGATTCAGTCGGAGGGTCTCCTTAATCACACACCCAGTGTATTTAAGCTGTTCCAACATTGCCATGTCCAACTTGGTGTCCCGGTGGCTCTTGGAAAGTAAGCCCTGTTGAAACAGTGGCATGGAAGTGGCCGCTGAGTCCGGGAGCCAATAAAATCAGCCCAGCGGAGGTAAACAGGGCTTAAGTGGTGGCGAAATGCAAAGGGGCCCAGGATGGGAGACTGTGAGAGGGAAACTGGGAGCAGTTAGTGACCATTGGCCTCCCTCACCCCAATACCCCGCCCAAATCCACTATTTACAATTCCAGGAGTGCATTGACCAAGCCTCTCCCCATCCCCACCGCCGCCCACACGGAATGGT